TAGTGTTTATATGCTATGAAATAACTTGCCTAGCAAATTTGCTTTCTGCAGTGCTTAAAGTTTTCGAGAAAAGACGAGGCTTAAAGCTTCAAAAATTAAATTCTGTTGATAGAACAGATTCTTATGTTTGACAAATGAATATAGTTTCTCTTAGTATCCATTCTCATTTATCTAAATGATCAGGACAACCCACATACAATCAAGCTAAAAGGACATGAATCTCTTCAAACCTTTTGCCACATAAGCATACTTTCGGGTTGTGCTTGTAGAATGTACTTTCGAATTCGAAACCCGAAATCCCGTCAAAAATATTTCGCTAACTAATCTGGTAAAAAAAAACCCACAGCTAAGCCTTTGAAGCTGTCATAAACGGCATGCAAAACGCAGGCAATGAGGCGGGCAGGTGGGCAATACCTGAAAACCTAAGCAGCTTACTACTAACTAGTGCTAGGCTGAAAGTTGCTTTGCGTGTGTGCCGCAGCGACAAACGCTGTGCATGTTGCTTGCAAGTCGCACAGAGAGAGAAACTAAATTTGATTCGAAACAGCCTACATGCAGCTTGTGGCACGCAATTAAAATCTTCATTAGCCGCGTTTAATTTCCACTTGTGATTAAAAATAATAATAATAAAAACTGAATAAAAAATCGAAGTTGAGCAACGCGAAACAAACAAACAAACAGAGAACAAGAAATAAATACAACTTGTGACATGTGTCGACGACTTATCTCCATCGGCGCAGCAGCAAGTGGCCGGGCAGGATGCGGGCCACTCCGAGCTGGACACCTTTCGGCCTGGGGGACACTCTGCCTGCCTGATTAGCGTTGGCCGTTCGATTCGCTGCATTCGGCTCGATAAGGAGCTATCAATGCGAGCCTAAGTGACAGCTGACTTGTTTATCAATTGACAGCTTTGCTGCGGCTAAATGCCAGACAGAAATACACACACACACACACAGACAGACACGGACTGACTACAGTCAGACTACACAGATTTACGCTGCGAAAAGTAACTGTTAATAAGCTTGTTGCTGCGGCCTGTGAAAATGTAGCTTTTAATTAAAAGTTGTTGCCGCTTTTGCAATTGTGCGTTCCACTCCCCTCCGCATCGCCTGCCTCACCCCTCGCGCAATCTGTCATTTGTGTGTGCGACTGAGGGGGTTGTCGGAATGTTTGTACATTTGTAGCCCATAGTATTTATACTTGTATTTTAAAGCCCGATGCTGTCAAGATAAAGAAGCCAACAGGCAGCCTCAGCGCATGTTCAACAAGCCAAGTATGCAATTGGGAGAGGCCAAAAGGCACCGCACACTCCACAACACACACACACACACACACACTAGCCAAGGCTTGTTTTTATTTTTGAGAGCATGTTTAAAACGCAATCCTACGCATTGCTCTGGTCTTGCCAACATTTTATATTATATTAAAACATATTTATTTTAAGTCTTTCGAATTAATGCCGAAATGCATAAAACTCTTTGAGCTTACAATTGGTTATCTTTGAGTTATGGATTGCTTATCAATGTGGAGATGGCAACTGAAATATGGCTTATCTATTAAAAGTGAATGACATTTTGAAAAATTCCCTGGGCTTAAAGAGTTTTCTTATAGTTTTTTATTTATTTATATTTTTATTATATTATTTATTTTATTGTATTCATTTCCATAGATATTTTAAGAAGAAAAAAAGTTTGGTAAAGAATAAGGCCATATTATATCTACTTAACAGCTCAAGGAATTCTGCAGTCAGAACTTTGCCTAAACGCCGATGTTTTGGCATAATTCACGTATTTTACTCTCCTTCGACTTTCCTTAAATAAATGATATGAAAAACCTTCTGTTACCAAAGCAATGGAAGTCAATTGAAATATGCTTCACAGCATATCTTCTGTCAAATGTATCTCTTCTCAATTAATTGGGGATCTCATGTAACATATAACTAGTAATACTTTAATTATTATTGATTCGATCTATAAGAAGTAAGAAATTTAATTATTTACAATTAAAATATTTTAGATATATTTTATAAATATGTATGATATGCTCGTTCCCTCTCCCCCACCTCACCCTCTCTTTCTTCTTCTCACTCTCCTCTTCTTCTCACTTTTCCTCTTCCTCCCTCGAGCTCTCTCTCTCTCTCTCTCTGCCGTTTTCGCTCTTTCCAACTCTCCCTCCTCCTTCTCTCTCTTGAAGATTTTGCATCTAAAATTGTCAAAGATTTTGTTTTTCTCGATTTTGTTGGCCCATTTAGTTCAGGTTATATTATAAATATATATCTAAAATATACCCAAAAATTGATTAACTTTAAAAAAATTTTAAATCTACAATGCTATGCATAGCTATGCTAACATTTGCACTATGAACTCTAGCAGAAATCTAGAATAATTTCTTATGCCTAAAAGATTTCTCAATATATTTTAGCTTATTCTGTAAACAACTTAACTTAGACTTCGATGCATGCTTAAAGCCAATACTAAAAGCCTTTATGCATAGCTTCAATTTTTGGCTCTGTTTGCCTTAGCTAGTAACCCACTGGCTTAAATATTTTTACGAAACTTTATGAACTGGTAACTGGGAGCTGGCAGCATCTTCAAATTAAAGCAGAAAACTGAATTTTCAAAGTTTTGTCCGCTCGGCAAGCACATTAAGCATTTCTGCAATTAAACAATATTTCTGAGTCAAGTGCGTTGGTCACTGTGGCAACTGGGATTAGGATTACTTTTTGCAGTTGTTGCATTGTTGCTCTGCTCTGTTGTTAACTTGTTCAGATTTGTGAGGCGGTGAGCGGACTGCCTGGCAGAACATCTCATTTAGAGCCTAATGAGCTGGTCAGAGTAGTCAAGGCAGTGGCATGTAAATCTTACAGCTCGCTGCTCCACTTACAAAACAACATCCATTTCCATAAATATCAATTAAGGGGAAAAATATCAAAACTGACAGCGTCGGCGACAGCGCAACACGCGGCTCGTAGTCTACGCCAGCTACCGGCAATCAGGGCCACGGCCAGAGCCTGGGCCTACCTGTGCAGCAGCCTACGCATCGTCTGCCTCTTCGTCTTCTTCGTTTTTATATAATTGGACAATTTAGGTGCTACTACGTCGCTATTTGGTACCCTCACTCGTTGCTAATTAAATGAAAATAAAAATGTTGAAACTCGTCGAAGCCATGAAAACCTACCGAAAACTTTTTCGAGCTACAGTTTTGGTGTTCACGCGTAACGGTTATGCGCTGTGGGCGTGCCACAGCACAATTGGAGTCACGTCAAGGTTCAATGGGCTGCAACAATGGTTTACAGCAATTTATGGATCATTCGGTATTGCTCTTCAAATTCAATTAGTCCAAACTATGGCAAAACTTTTCCAGCATTCCGACGCTGTCTGCCATCGCATAAGAGGCTTAGAAAGAAAATTATTAATAAACTGCTTTCACTAATTTACAGGCTAGCGTCTCTCATTACGAGCGAGCGACTGGCTGTTGGCTGCTGACTGCTGGCTGAGGCAAGGAAAACATAACAACATTTTCAAAGCTCTATTTGGCAACACTAAGCGTCCACTAAGCATCAATATTTCATGCTAAGCCTATTAGAGATTATTGTGCCAGCTTACAAAGGCCTAAATGACAAGTGGCAACTGCTCGGTGAGTTGGGGGCGAGCCTGAGGCTGGGTTGGGTCTTTGCTCTCTGGGGGCATATTAGGCGTTTCATTTGCATAATATGTGACACCAAAAGAAGTTAAATGAAATATTTCAAAGTTTCTGCATTTCTTAGCATTTGAATGTGGAGAATGAAATGAAAGGCGGGAGTTAGTTTGGGGCGAAGTCGATTGAGTATGGAAAAGTTCTTGTGTAGTGGGTGTCTGACTGACAGACTAGCTGAAAATGAATGCATTATTGATTGACTAACTAAGTGATTGGTATTCAGCCCTTAATTAACCCAAATTGTAAAAGCCAACGAGCAAATCTCATTACTTAAATTCAATTTGAGATGACTTTGCATAATAGACAGAAGTATTTGCAATTTTGAATATCTTTAAATATGAATGAATTCATGAAGCATGAACAATGAATCATGAATCATGAATCATGAGTCATGAATTATGAATTATGAATTATGAATCATGAATCATGAATCATGAATCATGAATCATGAATCATGAATCATGAATCATGAATCATGAATCATGAATCATGAATCATGAATCATGAATCATGACTCATGAATCATGAATTATGAATCATAACTCATGAATCATTAATTATGAATCATGAATTATGAGTCATGAATCATGAATCAAGAGCTTCTATATTCCATGGGTTCACGCCAGAAAATATAGGACTGCAATTTTTTGCAGTTCAATTAAACGACTTCTCAATATATTTTAAAATGAAACAAATATAGCCAATGCTCATATGTCTTTATGTTTAGCACACACATAATTTTATTAACTCTTAGATCTACCATTGTAAAACTTGCTAACACAATTACAAAATCGATGTCGGCAACTGAAGCAATATTTGTAATTCACCTATGAAAATTGTGAGCTGGAGTCAGGTACTTTGGCTGAGCAGAGGCCACCTCGAATGGTGGCGAATAATGAATGCTGTGCAGCTCGTGATTATGTGAAAAGTGTTCGTTGTCGCTGGCTGGGGGGCAAGGAAAATATTTACACCTAGCGTGCAAACATTTCATGAATTCATTTGCGCAGCAGCTTGGAAAATCGTTGGCAAAATGAAATGGAAAAGTTGGCATTTTCGGTGGCCTGGCATAGCATGGCACTACACGTGAATGAAAAAGAAAACTGGTCAAGTGAGCCAGTAAAATAACTGATAGAATTCGATTCATGATTAGCTGCAGTAACAGCAAAACGCAAACAGTTTAAAAACAGGATTCCAACGGATGTGGGTCAGATCTTCGGTATAAGCTTGACACTGCCAGCTGTGGCTAGGCCAAGCCAGGTTAGTTCAGCTGCAGCAGCTGCAGTAACTATTTCGTGGTCAACAAGATGAGGTTGCAGCTCATTTGCAGCGTCGTACTGGCAACGGTTCGCCTGGGCTATGCCACTGAAGCCGCGTTGCAGCCCGCAGTTCACGTTATACTGGGTCGCGGCAGCTTCTTTCAGTGGCTGGCCACAATATTGCTGCCCCCCACAGACAAGCCGGAGCCCGTTGCAGTCACAACCACAGCAGCAGCTACTGCAGGAGCATCTACGACAGAAGCAGCAACAAGCTATCCGCCGGAAAGGGAATGCAGCCCCTGCCGCTGCGGACTGATCCATACATTGCATAGGAAGATTGGCAAGAAGGCGAGTCGCCATCAATATCCCTGGATGGCTATGGTGATGCTTCAGGGCGACTTCCACTGCGCCGGCTCACTGATCAGCGACTTGTACGTGCTCACAGCTGGCCATTGCGTTGAGGGCTTGTCGGCTGAGCTAATCCAAGTGCGCCTGCTCGAGCACAATCGTAGCGCAAGCGATGCTCAGGTGCTGCAACGTCGAGCGGCGCATGTGAAGGTGCATGAGCTCTATAATCCGTTCAGCTTCGATAATGACATTGCCCTGATCCGGCTCGATCGGCCCGTGAGCTTTGAGCAGCGCCTGCGCCCTGTTTGCCTGCCGCCATCGAGCACCAGCTTCGAGGGCGAAATGGCCAAGCTGACAGGCTGGGGTGGCCAAAGAGAGAGTGCAGGATTTGGAATGCAAGCCTTACAGGTGTGATTTGAATTATATATATTCATATATATACTAAGCGGGTACTAACTAGCCACGAATGCAACTTATCTAATATTTCTTTCTGTTTTTTCTTATATATATTTCTATGCCCGCAGAGACTTAACACAATTCGATTGAAACTTTCTCTATCCATAAATTTCACATCTCCCATTTGCTGTTCCTTCAACGTTTCTTTGCTGCTCATATTCAAGCTCTCACGCGGAAAGCCTTATCTAAAGTTAATTTTTTTCTAGGTGATCGACTTTGCTTGCTCCTTTTTCTGCTTTATCTATATCTGTTCCCTGGCAACGCTTCAATTTATTTTATTTTTATTTTGTCTACCCAATACACCGCCCTCGTCCGCCCACCGCACAGCAGGAAGTCGATGCGCTCATTATTAGCCAAACCGAGTGCCGCAGCTCCAGCTACAGCTCAGCCATGATCACCGACAACATGCTCTGCGCCCGATACGTGGATGATGCCTGCAGCGGCAACAGCGGCGGTCCGCTCCATGTGCTCTTCGACGAGCAGCTGGGTCAGCATCAGCTGGTCGGCATTGTCTCCTGGGGCGCTGGCTGTGCTCGGCCCGGCTTGCCCGACGTGTACACACGTGTGAATCAATACCTGCGCTGGATTGAGGGCAACACGGCTAATGCTTGCTACTGCATGCATTTATCCGAGGAGGACTACTACTAATTGATGTGCTGGCCACGTGTTGGGCAGATTCTGGCTCATCTGTCAAACTTGGACTACAACAATGGATGTGCCCCGAGCCGGGGCGAAACTTTTGGCGTTGCATTTGAAAATTTGTATTAGTAAATTTTGCATAAACTACTTTGGCTCACTTTGTGTGCCATCCATTTCCCAGCAGCCGTAAGATATCCATAACTATAACTGTAAAACGTAGCCGTAACCATAACCGTATCCATTGGCAAATAAAAAAGCAATTTGAAAGTGGGTTAGCTGCCATCCTGCGTTGTTGGAGCTGCTGGCTCTGTCCTCCCATTCGCATAATGCCAACTTCAACTTTGCCAGCTTGGCACAAAACGGGGCCAGGGACATGCCGCAGGGACGTACCTGGTCCAGGACAAGGCCACTCCTTCCCATATAAATAAATCCCAATTCGGTGCATATCAACTGCCGCCGCATGCGAAATATCTTCTGCAATTGAGTTTGTTATGCATTTTGCATTTGCGCAATCATAAAACCAGCAACAACAACAACAACAACAACACAGAGAAAAGGAGGCTATGGGCAAGGCCGCATGCAGGAGCAAGTTTTTCACTCTAGATAAATTGCCCGAAATATTTGTGGCAAGTGAGTTCTTAAAGTTGCATTGCAATGCGATAAGCATAACTTTCCGTTATAGCCAACAAATTATTTACTTTGTACGAGTAATAGCTTATTCGTAGCGAGTTTTGATGGGCTCTAATGGAGAGCTACGATAGTGCTCCGAACAGCAGAGATACTCTTAATAAAAAACATTTAGAAAGTTCACAATTGAGTTATCATGGCACGAGCAGCAGCATAAGACATGCTTGAGTCTTGGCGCATCTGATTGAAAAATTGTTGAAGAGTATTGCACTAGAGCGCTTGGTTACCTTGGAGTCTTATGGAAAAGTAAATAAATATTCTTACAGCAAATTGATGTCAATCACCTTGCCTTTTAACCTACTACTCAGAAAATTTATAAGCAAGGGCTGGCTGTCGCTCGGACTGAACCGTCGCAGAATTTGATTTGAGAACCTAAAAAACTTTAAGCATGTTAATGACATTTTAAACAATTGATGTATTTACATTTATTTACATACATTTTTAGTTTTTATATTTAATTAAATTTTCAAATTTATTTATGTTTTTTTTTATATAAATATTTATATATACACATGTATTCGTACTGGTTTATATTTATTTATTTTTGGTCACATTTTTGTTTGATTATTTTATATTTAATAAATATTTATTTACATTCATTAAATATATATTTTTTTTTAATTTATATTAATATTTATATGAGTTTTAAATTTATTAATATTTTTATATTTACTCAGTTCAATATACTTTTTATATTTATTTTTATATATTTACTTATAATAATTAATTTAAACTTGCATTTCCTTATATTCATTTAATTTATACATTTTATGTATATTTAACTTTATCGTCAGTTATTTATACTTAATATTTTTTTTCACTCATATTTATTTATATTTTATTAAAACACTTTTCTTTGGAAAATTTAAAACTTGTATTAATAGAAGTAAAATTATGACTATTTGATTTAATAAAATAAAAACATTTTTAGCTAACTTAATTTCAATTTTAATACTTCAAAAGCAAATTATAAATAATAAATAAAAATATAAAATATATAACTTTCTTTTAGTATTTTTTTGTCTTAATTAGAAGAATAAATTTCAATTAAAATTTTAATAAAATAAAATTCAAAAACAAATTAAATAAATTACATCAGCTATGCATTTCAAACGAAAATATGATATCAAGTCAATTCACAATTTATTGCTCAAATAATTAAAAATTTAAATATAGCAAAAGCAAAGCTTATTTCACTACCTTTCCACATGTGAAGCCACAAATTGGGCTTTCCACTGCTTACATTAGTTTTTTAATACTCGAACCGCCTTTAACCCATATTCCAGCAAAAGCCAATGACAAATTGGCAAATCGTGGAGACTCGGTTCAGTCTCGTAAATTGGGATATGCAAATAGGTTTTACAATCTCTATGGATCATTAAAAATGTTTACGACTTCATATTAAAACTACACAAACTGTAAGCCGTAAAGAAATGCATTTATACTTTGCCAATAAATTTGTCTCACTTCTTTTCTTACTCTCTTTGTCTTCTCCGTGTCTGTTTTGGGGCCAGGGCACATGCTCATAAAGATTTCCTACTCAAAGCCATAAAGCAGTCTCGCAGTCTTGTCTTAAAGTTAAAGTGCTGCACGGCCTGCATGGATTTCCAGCTAAACGACAAATAACTTGGCATTTAATAACTCTACGGGTTCGTTACCTATCTCTCTCTCTCCCTCTCTCTTTCTTAACCGTGTTTCTTTTTTAATTCCAAGTTCTTCAGCTGCTTCATTATTATGCGACGAGTCGAGTTCATTTCAAGCTGCAAGGTTTCATAATTTAAAACTGCGTTTTGTCGCAAAACGAATTTATTCGCTGAGGTTGCATATCGAAATGTGTGTAGCAAAGATATTGATAGAAAGAGAAGGGAAGAGAGAAAGAGAGAGGGGCGCAGATGCCCTTAAAAGTTCAAAACAATCTTTCTTAGCTTAAGTTTCGAGAGTCAATAAAGTAGATATTCTAGTCAGCTTCATAGCTATAAATTTATTTAAATTTAATAATCACATGTCGTGTTCATTGTTAAGGGCGCTCAGGCCCAATGATTTGCCACTAAAAAGCAGCCGTCACAGATTCTTGGGAAGGCAAACATGACACATCTCATTATGATGTGGCTGCCAAATGATGAAGCCTCCTTTTTGGCCACAAGCATTTGCATGCGCCGCAGCCCACAACAACCGAACACACAGTCAGCTATGTGTGTGTGTGTGTGTGCGTGTTTTGCTGTCAGAGTATTTTGTTTATGATTTTGTAGCTGTCATAAAGTTATTAAAAGTATGTGACATTTTTATGACATTATGACGTCTCGACTCAGAGCCCGATTTCCCGACTCACGACATCCCACAAAACAAGAAAAAAGATGAGAAGTAAAAAAAATGCCACTTGCTTTTGTTTTCATTGGGTCTTGCAGCTTCGAGGGCCTCTGCAACATGCCAAGAAATATGATATCAAATAAAAAGCAAATTAAAGACGATAAAAATCGTGTTTCGTCTCATGCTGTGAATGGTATAAGAAACATTTTTCGACTCTTTCTTTTGCGAAGGGTATACCAAATTTCTAACAAACTATGCAACGCCAGGAAAATTGTTATATAATGCATTCAGGTTAATCTGATACAGGTCAATAGAATAGCAGATTTTGCCAGCTTTGTAGATGTTCAAAGTTTCTCTCTTTTTATTGTAATCAGACTGATTTTATTTATGTACATCTACTGAGCTTAAGGAATCTCTACGATCTCCACAGCAGCGAGCCTCGTTCTATACTTCTCAGTTCATTGTTTACTCAGTTACTAAAAAAATCTTCAACAAGTGTGAGCTGCTGCAAGAGTATTTACTATTCGGCATTGCTTGCTTATTTTCCTGCTTTTCTCATTTTTTTTTCGTTTTTTTTTTGTTTTTGGCTTTTGCGAAATCGAAACCAAAAACCACTCGGGCGACCTGAAAATTGGCCTCGGCTTGAATCTGATCGCCTCGGTAGTTCGTGTTGTTGCTCATGTGCTCTTGTGGTTATTCGCCTTGTTATTTGGTGGCTCATAAAACTTGTAAACATCGCACTGATTGTGCCTCCGGTCTGAAAGTCCCAGCCAGTCGCCCCTCCAGCTGCTTGCCTCGTGCATTTCACGCTGTGGGCGTTAAATGCAAAGATATTTTTGGTCAGATTGTATTACAGCTACAGTTTTGATAGCCCCATCCCCCCCTCGGCTGACCACTCCATACATCGTAATGAGCAGGTTTTTGATAGGCTGATAAGCGTTTTAGTGTTCCTATCGAATATGAATTTCACAGCAGACATTTGTTTATAGTATATATATATTTAAGCTAAATATGCGTACTACTCTACGTATAAATACAGAAATTATCCATGAATAAAATAGATATATGACTTAAAACTTACTGTCAACTGTTTGGTTTTTTTTTATTAATCAAAACGAGGCGAGACTCTGTGCACTTGAGTATCAACTGCTCTATATCACAAGATGAATATATCACTACAAATATATAAAGTAGCTTTATATATTTATATATATATATTTATATATATATATATATTCATATATATATATATATATTTTTTTTTTTATATACCTTACTAATGACTAGAAGTTAAATTTAAAATTTGTTTTATTGTTTATCCTAAGCGCCTTAGGTTTATCTTTTTATGTTCCTTATGAAATATTTATTTAAAAAAAAAAATGAAAGAGTTCACCTGTGCGGGAAGCGTTCCCGTGCCTTCAGCGTGGTCGCTTCGATTTGGAGTTGCGCAGATCGTAGCGACGTCGCTTGGAGGCATTCTTTGAGTCTGGCTGACATTTAAGATCCTTGTCCGTTTCGTTGTTGCTGCTGCTGCAGTCGACGTCGTCCTCGTTGTCCTTGGCGCCCGTCTTCTGGGTGTCCTTTATGTAGGCCTCAGCAGCAGCAGCCGCATGCAGCAGGTCCTCACCGTGATCATCCGTGGGCGATTCGTGCTCCAAGTCCGTGTCCGTAATGGCGCATTTTCTTACCAATTTCTTTCGCTTGAGCTTGGGCTTGAGCGGCGTCACCTCCTTCTTCTCTGGGTCCACCTCGCCCTGTTCGCCACCGATGCCGCACAGCTCCTGCATGACCTGCTCGAGTTCGATGTCCTCGGGTGGCGGATGGCAGTTCTCGGTCGTCTGCGCACGATCATGCTCTCCCGCCGCACTGAGCGTATTCGTCTCGTGCCTGTCGTGGTCAGCCAGCTCATCCTCATCCTCCGAGGAGACGACGCCAATTGGCAAATTCTGCTGGAACGAGTTGGCCTTGCTGGCATCCACCACGATGTCCTTGTAGCCGCTGGTACTCGCGCCATAGCGCGGCAAGTATTCTGCAAAGAACTCACTGATCAGCGACGGCTCCACGCGGCCGTAGAAGCCAGCGTAGTCGGGCACCTTGCCAGCCTCAAACTGCAGCACAGAGTCTCGCGGATTCATGTGCTTGGAAGCCAGCGCTGGCGCCAATGACGACTGCGCTGACAGTCTACTGCTGCTGATGCGTCCGCGTCGTGGCAGGAGCTGCTCGGCGTTCGGTTCCCGCTCCTGGAGCAGTCGCACATCGTTGTGATAGTGCAGCAGGGTCTGAAACCGAAAGCGGGCGAGCTGCAGCGGCGAGTAGGCGCTCTGATGCGAGGCACACAGATCCTTGGCCGTGCCCAAGCCGAGGGGACATGCATTGCGGGTCTGCGGCGTCTTCGGCGTGCCCAGCCGCTCAAACTGTGGCGTGGGTATCAGCAGCAGCTGCTCCACATGGTAGGGCTTGAAGTGCGCGTGCTGATAGTACAGCTGCGGCCGGTCGTCGTGCTCCAGCTCCTGCAGCGCACGCTCGAAGCCGACTTCGATCAGCTGGCGGGTGAACTGCAATATGCTGCGGCTGCGGAACATGCACTGGCCACCGCACAGGTGCTCCTGCAGTCCCATATAGTCCAGCTGCAGGTGCTTACCATCGGCTGTCCAATTGATAAACGTCACCTGCTCACTGGTGGCCGCCAAATGTAGTTTGTGGGTGAAATTATGGCTTAACAGGGATTCCAGCGGCTGTTTCGTCGGCGATGGCGTCTCTGGCTTTTGGGCTGTAAGGTCGTCGTTGTCGTGTGGCATATGTGGCAGTTGCGACTCCAGATCGCTACTCGTCATCTGTTCTCCGAGGTGGGCGCTGTCATCCTGGCTAACACTGCCCAAATCGTGGGGCGCATCGTCCAGTGTCTTTAGAAACTGTAAGAACTCCAACTGAACGGTATTATCCGCCGGAATCGGATCAACACTGCCGTCCGGCTGGTCGTCTGTTTGCTTATCGAGTACCCTAACTGGACTGTTGCATTCTCGATGCTTACTTTTACTCGTCGACATTATATTTTTCGATTTGGCTTTTTTGTTATTTGTTTGTTAATTCTAAATGACTATTACTACGCTTTTTTCGGACTACACGCACACTTGTCCAGGACAAATGTATGTGTTTTGGCCCCCCCAGGTTTCAGAACCTGTCAACCTGTCAGTGTTAGCAAATGCCGAGCACTGAAAACGATTGCAAAGGGTTGCAACACAACGGCGATGAACGGGGCAATCGAAGTGCGCCAAATTTTCAAATATGCCACAAACTCACCAAATCCAAAGAGCTGAAAACTTGGAAATTATTATAGATAAGATATGACTTTTATTTGATTATGCAAAGCTGGAAGCTTTATTGGTCTATTACTCAATGGTAGATTAGCCTTATCTTAGATCAACTTAAACCTCTGGTCAAGCAAATTCTTGCTTCTGTTTACTGGATAATTCATCAAATTTAGCTTTGCAAAAATATTTGATTTAATTCCAAGAGTTTTGCAATTTCCCCAAAGGGTTCAACAAAGGGTTTTAATCAACGTTTTCTAGAAATATATTTATATGTATCTATTCCTAGTTTATCAACTATGCGTATATATGTACTCACGACTTTTTTGTTATGCTTATAAAACTTTAATGACTTGGCAACAGAGTCAATTTAAGCGACATGTCCCCAATAAGTCAATAAAAATAAATTTCAAACTAGCTAAGCAGCAGCAAAATAGAATTAAACAGGGAAAACCCAGAAAAACTAACCAAGTCGAATATTAAATGCGCTACGTATCAAAATACTCAATGAATAGAAAATACTTCATATAAATATAAATAGTTTTTACATCATTTTGGCATTTTTAATTTTTAATAATTTTGTTTAAAGTTAACTTTTATATATTTCAGTGATTGTATGCAAAAATATTATAAAAAGTTTATAAGCAACGTTAAGTAAAAGAAAGAAAGTAAAATAAATAATAATAATAAAAATGAAAACAAAAAAAATAAAAAAGGCGAACAAAATTAAAAAAAAAAATAAATAAATAAAATAGAAAATACATTGAATATTTATAAAGCAATTAAATTAAAATATAATAAGCAAAATTTTAATTAGTTCAAATAAAATAAATAAAAAATTTAATAAAATATTACAAAAAACAGAGTAGAATAAAATAAAAAAACACACAAAATAATAAAACAAATAAAACAAAAGAAAATAGAATTAACAAAATTAAATAAAAAATATAAAATAATAACAAAGAATATAATATATTTGATATATACAATATTTGATTAAAAAATTTTCAAAACAAAGCAAAGCTCTACTTTTAAAATAAAAATAATTGCAAAAAAGTTTGATCAGAAAATATTTATATATAAAATATAAAATAAAAAAATAAATCTAAATAAACGAAATATTAAATATAAATACGAAGTGACATTACACATAACAAATATACATATATTCAATAACCATTTGTGTTTAGAGATTTGTTATTTAGCTACAATTTGGTAATACCCTCGGCTAGCGTATAGACAGCCAAATACAATATTATAAAGCACCAAACACATTTCATTCCATTTGAATGCACTTTATGTATTGTTTGCAATAAATCTATTGTTATTCAGGCGCACCCTTTGCGAGCCCCATTTGGCGGCGAATTTCAAAAAAGAGGATATGGTGGGGGACCTCAACCCCCGGCCCACCGAAAAAAAGGATACACCCGCAATATCAATAATAACAGCGACGGCTAACAACAAAAAAGCCGCCAACATTTGACACTCGCTCCACTGTTGGTTGTTCGAGAGCCCAAAGCACGTAGCCAATCAGCGGGCGGGTCGCATAGGCAGCAGTAGCTTTAAATTGACATTTACATGAATATTTAATATACATCCTTTAATCATGAGGCGTTCCGCTGTGTATTTGCCGGGCAAATAAGCAAGCTCCATGTTGGTTCATTGCCTGAATAAACGGATGCCCCTGGACAACGACATCGACACATACATGACCATGGACACGGACACGGACACGGACACGGACATGGAGATGGACATGGACATTGGTTGCTCATTTGACAGTTTAACTCGACTCTGCATACACTTTAAGCAATTAATGGTTACAAATTAAAAGCGATGAGAGATGAAGCTAATGTTGAAAGCAAAAGCATAATAATTTCATAAAAATGAGCTAAGAGTTTATAGAGAAGTTTACTTTATGATCTGCACAGAAATATTAATAGATTTAAATTTATTTATTTAATTAAAATTTTATTTTGTAAAAAAAGTTCAAATTATGAAAGTGAAATGTAATAAAATTAGAAAAAATTACTTTAAGCTATTTAATATTTATTAAAATTATGTAACACTTATTTAATATTTTATTATTTTAACTAATGATGAATTCAATATTTTATTGAAAGGAATTTTATGAAATTTTATTTTATTTATAAACAAATAAGTGATGCAAATATTTTTGGACTTATTATAAAATATTAAAACTGATGGGAATTAATCAAAGTTTTTAGAGTTAAGGAAATCATCGAATATTGATATTTGTGTATATAATTATTTATTTAATTTTAATTTAAAATTTTAACCTAATTAGAAATATATGGGAAAGCCTTTCAGTACGCTTGATTTAATCAAAACTAAAAATGATTTTCAACTAATTTATGCTTACAATGTATATGGCTTTGCTATATATTTTTATAACTTGTTTCGTTTTATGGCCAGTGCTGACGACGGCTGGCTCTTGCTGTCTGTCCCAACTTTATGGCCAAGTTATGATGTTCCGCTTTTATTTGAACTGCGGAGCACAATAAAAGCCGCGAACAAGGCGAATAAAAATGTACACAAGTCGACAAAAAGTCGACAAAAGAGTGCGACACGCACGTGATTTTCACAATGTTTCCTTTTGCCCGTTTTTCCCGATTTTTTTCATTCTCATTTTCATTTTCATGCTAGTTTTTTCTCTTAATTTTTTTCCTTTCGTTTGTCGCACAGCGGAAACGAGCAAAGTTTTTATGATGTGACGAGCGAGTGACGCGCCCGTTGAGTCCGAGTTAAAATTTAGTTTCATTTTCAGTTTCACTTCCAGCTTAGTTTATTTGCTCTACCTCTTTTCAGAACATAATGACAGTTGTTGCAGCAGGCTGAACTCAAAAAAAGGATTGAAGAGCTGATTCGAGCTTTTCTTTTCGAAATATTTTAGAGTGAAATTTACTAAAATTGTTATTTGCCAGAAAATAATCTGGAATATACTTTGCATATGCATATTATTAAAATTCATAATTTTCTTTACTCTCTGAGCAAGTTCTATAACGGTAAATGCACAAATATAACGCCTTTAAGTCTAATAGTTTTCTGCTTAAACTTTTTCTCTTATATTTGAAGAAGCACAAAGCAAATACTCTTTAAATACAAATGGAAAGGGCAGTTGTAATGATCATTATAGAAATGATTATTATCTTAAAGACTACTTGCTTATATATTCATATACAAAATAATCATTAGATTATAAATACAATTATTAACAGTTTCTTAACAAAAGCCATTTATCTAATACAATTCTGCTTAATACATATTTTAAATAATATTATTAACATTTTAAATATTTACCAAAGCAGCAGAGGAGCGCTGCACAGGAACATCTGATCTGCAGCAGGTCGGGGAGGCAACTGAAGAGCTTGCGACAGAGGGCTGGCCTTTATATAGGCGGCCAGACTCCCACTCAACGTCGAACTCCAACTAGTTGAGCCGCTCGCTGAGTTAGTATTACTCTCAATTGTCGAGTGAGTCTGTCTTACAACTTGATTTACTCTTAATTTGTGTAGAAATTGATATCTTATAATTATTATAATCATTGTCATGTTCTATTTTCTGTATGAAGTCTGACTATTATTTCTATGTTCACTGATCGCGACTTAACATTTGCTCTTCAAGCTATTTAACTCAAGCGAGCAAACTCCTTTTTCAGCCAGGCTCAGTGCGGGCGACACCTGTTTATTTGTTGTTGTTTGATGTACAGATAAGACAAGTGACAGCAGGCGCAGCATATCGATCGATCTTGTGTTTTCTTTCTGTGATATAGAACATATATGTATACATATAATATACATAGATATCTATACCCACGAATGCAACATTTCTAGTTATTCGCTCAGTTTTTTAGCTGACCTAAACAATTGTTTGACATATGTTTTTTATCACTGGAAACATAGCCCGAAAAAAACTGATGATCAATTTAATGTCGCCTGACATTTTGGGTCTGTAACAGCTGCTGCTCACATAGTAGCGCAGAGTTTATGAGTTCAACTGCTCTAATGTAGTCCTCGATCTCTATCGCAGTTCGTCTCGCTTCGCTCGACTTTATAAATTGCCCGCCCAAATGCCTAACGTTTTGTGCGTACTTTAACAGTCTTTAAAAATATTATAAATATGTTTTCGAAAAGGCAATCTACCAGAAAATATATAAAATATAAAAATATATGCAGAGCGTGACTTCGGCAGCAACCTTTAAATACTCTTTAAAGTTAATAAAATGTGTAAAAACATAATTAAAAACATAATTATTAACGTAAAAAAAAATTTATAAATAAGTAAATTTTATAAGGATTTTATTTTATTTTAAAATTATTTAATTGTTATCAACAAACAACATTTATTTTCTCTTTTATTACATTAAAAATTAATTAAAGTTTTAATTGACATTTTAACATTTTTAACTTAAATTCAAACATAAAATTATTTATATATAAATATATTATTATATTATTATATATATTATATATTATATATTTATTAGTTTTATTTATTTTAATTTTATTATATATACAATATTTTATTTTATTTTTAATAAATTACTTAAAATAAGTTTTATATGACAAAAAAGGCAAATATTTCTTTAACATATTCTTAAATTATCATTGAAATATATTATTTGTTTATTTTTCTTCTTTTTTTTAAATAGGAAAAATATGTACTTGAAAGTATTTTAATATTTTTTATCACAATCATTTTTTATAATCCCAAACGCCCAGTCTCTACTCAACTGAAAACAAATACGTAAAACGGCAACGTTTTGCCTTTTTAATGCGTGTCAAGTGGGCACATATTATGGGTTTTTATGGTTTATGGGCGCTACTTATATGGCACACACACTCACACACAG